TGCCCGTGGTGAAGCCATGCTGACTATGTTAATGAATTGGAGTGATTTTGTTTTTAGGCCTTTGAGGTGTTAAGATTATTGCTATTTGTTGCATCACATTTGGGAGCGAGACTGATGACACAGAAAGGTGGTTGTTCGAGTTGTGCATGTCACTTGGACAATATCTGCAGTATCTGGAGCAGAAATCTATTTTTATTGTATCTTCATCTAGTTGCAAGGTTTTAAATCCTAATGAGACTATATTCATTCTTAAATGTAAGAAAATTTACTCATTTCATGACTTCTAATTTAGACTGAGTATATTTTCAATAGCTTTCACTCCTGATGTTAAGTAATACTTGTGTGCTAGTGAAGCTAATGGCCATCTCTGTTTCAGGGTGGTGACTTTACCAATCATAACGGAACCGGGGGAAAATCCATTTATGGCAGTAGATTTCCAGATGAAAATTTCATACTTAAGCACGTAGGACCTGGTAAATAAACATATTCTTTATAATTCCTGATGACTGACTGTAACCTACAGTGAAGCCTTAAGATGCATTTTTTAAAAATTAAGGTTTTATAGATGTGTGGGGCCCTTTGTAGTTAGAGCAATACCAGGGAATTTTAACAGTACGTTGTCCCTGGTGTGTGCGTATTTGTGTGGACTGCTCTGCAAGTGTAAGGCAGCCTGTAACAGGTGACATTGCTACTCCTGCTGTTACTGTAAAAGGGACTGTGCAGGATAAGGTAGGGTTGGTTTTTTGTGTGTGTTTTTTTTTTTTTATATTTGACTTAAAAATTTTGGGAAGGTGAGATTACTGCTTTTGTCTTTCTCCTTCATAAGCCAGAGAGTTCACTTTTTACTTAGATGATTGCTGCAGGGGTGCAACAGAGCAATGTGGGATTTGTTATTTCCTAGGTAATGCAGGCACATCCTTCTAAGCTTAAATTAAATCTAGAAGAAGTAAAGGAAAAGGCATGTGTAAAAACATTCAGTTGAATTGTATAGTCTCACTTTTTCTGGATTGCTGCTTCCTCATCACAGGAAACTACTGCTCCAGTTGAACCACAGTAGAAGTTACCTGATGTTAATCACTTTCAGGATGTGTACAACTAATTACATTACTGACATTCTTGCTGTGGAAAGAAGGGAGGCTGGGCTGGAGGGGATAGTCAAAGAGAAGCTGGCAATAGAAATCATTTGGAGACAATGTGAAACCATCACATCTTCTATGTGTCCATCTTTAGTCTAAACATGCAGAGGAAAATTGTGTTCTCCACTGAATACTTGTTACACCAATCTAATAAGCTGCTGCTGTTGTTCCAGGTGTTCTTTCAATGGCCAATGCAGGACCCAATACAAATGGATCTCAGTTCTTCATTTGTACTGCAAAGACTGACTGGTAGGTTCTCAGCCCTGCAGATTAACTTGATAAATTGATGCCTGGATTCGGAGGGTTTGCTGATGTTTTTTCATTTCTTTGGTTTGGGGGATTTCTTTTTCTTTTATTGCCAGATTACTTGACTCAAAATAGAAAATAAATTGGTTTGTGCCACTTGAGGGGAGGAAGGGCTGTGGGGGTAACTAGTCCATTATCCCTTATAATATTTCTAAGGTCCTGAGCGAAAAGTATTCACTTGCAGAGAAGTTGTGCCTTTGAATACAGTTGATCATCAGGTGAGGGCTGTGAAGATCTGCTAACATCCCTTCACAGAGGTCCATTTGGTTCAGTCTTCTGTTTCTTCGAAGTAAAACTGCTTTTGTTTATTTGTTTTACAGGCTGGATGGGAAACATGTTGTTTTTGGGCATGTAAAGGAAGGAATGGATGTCGTGAGAAAAATTGAGAGCTTTGGTTCCAAGAGTGGAAAGCCCTCCAAAAAGATTGTCATTACTGACTGTGGCCAGCTGTCTTAGCCTTTTGCCCTACTACTCAGGACAATTTTAATACTGTGAAAAATTAATCCCAAGAAAACCCAAACATTTCTATTCCTATGAGTAGCACCTTTGGAATGCTATTTTCTATTTAATATGGTTGAACTTTTATACTTACATTGAATAATATTGATTAAAAGCATATCACAATAATAACTGAAAGATGTTTTACCTGAGCTGTCTTGGTAGTCACACTGTCACGTTGATTTGGTAGAGTCCCACTGCATTTTGAAGGAAGTGGTGTGGTCACCCAGAGCATATCTGACTCCACTGTTGATGTTTTCCTTAGTATTTGGATGTTTCAGGTGTTAGGAGTGAACTACTAGCTGTTTTATAGTTGGAGGCTAGAAGTAGAGAAATACCATGTTTCCTTTGGTGCTAATAAATGCCTGTTCTGTTGTTTGTCTCATTTTGAAAAAAAAAAAAATACTAACTAGTGCTGTCAAGGCTGTCTGTGACAAAACTGTCAGATGGGTTTTTTCTGTGTCTCAGTTTAAGTCTATCCAACAGAAAAAATGTGTAGTTGTGGGTTTTTAAAAATCACTACTGTTTTGATCTTCTGCTGTTGTCTCAGACCACTGTTTAAAACTGAACTTCACCTTACCTTCCTTCAATTGGGGTGATTTGACTTCTGGGTTAGGTAAATAGCTTTAGCTTGAGTTAGCCTACTGCTAGAGCTCTACCTGGGCAGTAAGACCACAAATTAGCCAAAAGATGGTGGGACTTTTTTATTATGGAACTGTGAACTTAACTTGAAATGCAGTCCTGCACCAAAATCTGTTTCTGTGAGGAATACAGCACATTTCTCAGGAGACAGCCTATTTCTGCACTTTGAGAATTTAATCAGAGTATAGTGAGCTTGCTTGAGTGAGAGAGAGGTTTTGTGGGTTTTTGTCCTGTTGGTCCTGTGAAGTCAACCCATCTGGGGTATGACTCGGATTGTGTTTTCTTCTCGTGCATCATCATAAGTCAAAGTTGGTCACCACAAAATCACAAGGTCTAACTGGTGCAGCAAAATCATTCTTGTTGGGTTTGATGCACAAGAAGGAAAGAGCTCAGCTGATCAGGTAAACACATTTCATTTGTATAAACCAGTATGTTTCACATGGAATGCTTGAGCAGTAACAAATGTTGGAACCTCACAACACTTAGAATCACTGGAGCTGTAAAATACTACTGCTTGTGGGGAAAAAGCACTTCACTGGTTCTGTGCAATAATCATGTTACTGAAGAGAAGAATAAAATCTGATGGCTCTCCTCAAATGTGAATTTATTTCCATTGCATTCTGATAATGTGTGCCTTTAAAACTACTTTACAGTGGATTTTTTTTTTTTTGTACCAAGGGCTGCATTCATGTGTGCATGAGGTAGTATTCAGAATGTAATTTTTTCAGAAAAGGGAATTGAAAAGCTTTTTACTCTTTCCACTGTAACTGTTTCATCTTTCTTTGTAGTATTTTTTTAAATATTAATTTATGCCAGTTGAGCTTATTTCAGTTTGATAGAAAAATGATTTTATTTTTTGTTTTCTTAATTCGTGTATGGAAAACAATTAAATGCAGTTTTACCACAAAAACCACAAGTGTTACTTTCTTAAACAGGACTTGGCATGCTTACTGGAAAGCAGAAGTGTGAGGAGCCTGTTGTGTTTACTTGGCCTGTTCTGTTCCATCCACTTTGTGTTGGGTCTGATTTAGTGGGGTGTGTTTGGAAGCCACACAGGAAGAGCTGGCAAGAGCGGCGGTGGTGCTGCTGTACTTTGCCTCCTAAAATACCTGGTATATGGGTAGCAGGTCAAGTTTTAACACTGTTCTCTCATACCATTTATTCTATCAATCTGTAGAGATAATGGGGAAAGTGTAAATTTGCTGGATGCTCTGTAAATTTGAGTTCCTTTTTGAGAAATTCATAGTTCTGGATTTTTGCTGGACAGTTGAGGAGGAGCTCCTTCCTGGCTGTGTGGTCAGGGATGACCTTAAGTATGTAGCGTTGCCTGGGTATCAGCACTATTTGTAGACTGTAAAGTCCAGCAGCAGATGCTCTGCCACAAACTGGGCTATTTTCTTGGACAGTGTGAAGCCGTAAGTAGTTAATAGTACTGTGCATGTCATAAGGACTTATTACATACGGCTATGGCTTTTACAGGCAAGCTTATGCCCTAACTTCTGAAATGTAAAAGCCAAAATTTGCCATCAGGGCTTGCAGTGTTGACTACCAGATGGATGTTAAGACCTGCAGGATCACTGTGATGAGTAACACTGGTTGCAGTGCCTGGATGGGTCTGGCTTTGGTCTAACAGTGCTGGTCCCCTGCGTGCTTTCCTCTGCCAGAAGAAAGTCTTTGCTGCCTGTGTGCTTGGAGCAGTGCAACATGAGTCCTCATGTTTTGGCAAACTAAACAAGTGGATGGATCTCTGTTTTCTTCCATAAAGCATCTTCCTCAAAATGGATTTTTCTGGAGTTCTGTTCTTCCTGGTTTTTCTTTCTTTTTTTCCATCTTCCCCTCCAATTATTTAGAAGTGCCCAGGGCTCTATTCCAGGCAAGCTCTGCACCCTGTGGCACTGCAAGAGCGTTCCTGTGCTGAAAATACACAACTGCAGCTCATACCAAGTATACCCGAGCTAATTTTAAGAGGTGGTTGTGTCACTAAAGGAAGGATTGCAGGACCTCAGCAGGCTGCTGGATGGCTGGCCCCATGGCTTAGTCTCTGGTAGCTTGTCCACTTCCCTGCACGACCCTGAGTCAGGATTGCAGTTCAGGGGCCACTATGCACACATAGGCCCTTGCTAGTTAATTCTCTGCGGGGATCTGATTTTATACAGGATCCAAAGTGTCCATCTCTCTGCTGTCAGCCTTCATGCATCACAAACAGTTGCTAGGAGGAGGGGTGGGTTCTCTTGCATCCTTGCTTGAGGGCCTTCTCAGTTTCAAAATCATGGGCTAGAACAGGAAGAATGAGGGAGTGCCACCGCTCGTTTGTGACTTTTATACCCCAGCACTTCATAGATGTTATCACAACAATTAACTGCCTGCGAGCTGCTGCAAGCAGCAAAGGGCTTCAGTTTCTGAACTGGATCCACTTATCATAGAATCATAGGGGTTGG